GCCGGCTCGAGCCTCCCCCGTCGGACTGCCTGCCCCGGGGCCCGAGCCTCCCTCCTGTGCCCGCCTGCCCTAGGCCTGAACCTCCCGCGTCCAGTACTTTCCCCCGTCCATGAGCCTCCCCCATCTGTCTGCTTAGCTGCCCTGTACTCCTTCTGTCTGCCATCTGACCGCTCATGTGACCCTCCGGTGTCACTTCCCTTTGTCTTTCTCTCTGACCCCCGTGGGCACCCTGAACGCTCTGCCTGCCTAGTGCCACCTCTGTCGCTCTGCCTGGTCTGGCTTCTCTATTTGTCTGGGTGACCACCCAGGACAACTCGGTGTGAGTGGGGGGTCAGGCTGCCTAGACGCCCCCCCTCTGTCAGTCTGTCCGTTTCTCCGGTGCACCTCTGCCCATCGTCTGCCCCGGCTCGGGCAGCCTGGTGCTTGGGAGGTCTGAGGGTGCTGTCCCCGAGCCAAGACTTGGGGGCAGGTGAGACCAAGGAGTCAGGGGTCTGTGTCTGTCTGGCTGAGGGGGCTGGGGTCTGCGGGGCCAACAGGGTGGGGCTCTGGGGGACCTGTCAGAACACCTGTGTTGGTGAGGGGGTGGAGGCAGGTGGCCCCGGAGCTGGGGTGTCCCGCCCCGTGCACACCCTTGATAAGGCCGGCCTCCCAGCATCCCTTCTGTGCCGCCGTGGACCCTGGGCCTTGAGATTAGCCCCCGCCGCTTTCTCTGCCCACCTCCCCCTGGCACGGGTGCCTCCCGGCACTTGGGGCCCGCCGGGCGTTTCGGGAGGCAGGCACAGGAATCCTGCCCTGCGAATTCCGGGCGGCAGCTTTCTAGAAGCTAGGAGGGGCCGGCTGATGTCTCCTTGCCCTTGGGAACAGTGACCGAGGAGGCAGTGACTTGCCCTGGGCCCTCGTGAGTGCTGTTTTTGCCAGGTGCAGCAGATCTCCAAGCGGCCGGAGGTCGGGATTCTCGGGCGCCGAGGACACCCAGGCTGCCCTGGGGTCACTTTAGACTGTAGCGGCCGGGGAGGGGAGCAGGGAGACACGGGAGACTCAGACTGGTGCTCCCCTCTGAAAAGCGGACGGGAAAGGTGCTCCTCTTTGGGCCCGTGCGGGGATTGCTTGCAGAGTCTGAGAGCCCGGCCTCAAACGCAGTTCTGTTCAGGTCAACTCCTTGACGAGCAAACGCGATAGTTCCTAGGCCTGACAGGTGACAGATACGTGGGTGTGGGGGTCTTCTCCCTGGGCCGACAGGGGAGCCACCCCTGGGGAGCCGGAAGCAGCCATGGGAAGGGGTCCCCGGGAGCGCACGCTGTTAGCAGCCTGATTCTGCGCCCCTTTCGTAGGTGGGAGGCCTGGGGTTCAGTGAGGCTCCCACCAGACCCCAGAGGAAGAATCGGCATCCCCTCCCCCCTGCAAAGGTTAGGCACCTTTATAAATAAAGAGCCGGCTTTGTGTTTATGTACAACCGGCCTGGGGGCTACGCACCCCTACGAGGCACCACGGCCTCCACCTGCACCCCTTCCCCTTGTCCGCCGCAGGGTGAGCGTGTGGGGAGACCCAGGAGGATCTGAGAGGAAGCCGAGGCAGCCCCTCTTGAGGCCTGATAAGGGGACCTGAGTGAAAGTCACCTTGGCAACCCTCCCCACTTCTCTTTTTTTCTTTTTTTTTTTTGCCGCTGAGCCTGTGGCCGGTGGTGATGGATTCACTTTTTCCCTTAACAAGCTCTCTGGGCTTCCCCCAGCCCCGAGAGGATACAGCCAGACAGGGGATGATTCTCCGTGGGGTCCACGCTGGGGCATGTGGGTGGACTAGGTTTCATAAGGGAGAAGCAGAGCTTTGAAGGAAGGGACATTAGCTTTGGGGGTTTGAAGGGTGGATAGGAGTGTGTGTGCGCGTGCATTCCGGCCGGTTGAGACAGCTGTGCAAATGTGACCTACCACAGTTTTAAAAAAGCTCACGAGGCAGGTTTTGCACGTTAATCTTTTTTATTTTTTAATGTTTCTTTTTGAGAGTGAGTGAGACAGAGCACAAGTTGGGGGCGGGGGGCAAAGAGAGAGGGGGACACAGAATCCGAAGCAGGCTCCAGGCTCCGAGCCATCAGCACAGAGCCTGACGCGGGACTCGAACCCACGAACCGTGAGATCATGAGCTGAGCTGAGCTGAAGTCGGACACTCAACCCACTGAGCCACCCGGGTGCCCCTTGCATGTTAACTCATGCTGACTTTGAGAGGCAGATATTTTTGCTATCTCCGCTTTCTGGAAACTGAGGCCCCAGGTCCCTTGCCCAAGGTCCCCCAGCCAGGCAGCCTCGTCCAGACAATGGTTAACCTGGCCTGGCCGGCTCCAGGGCGGGTTCTGGCCAGGGCGGCGCATTCTTCTGACCAGAGTGTACGGTTTGTGCCTGGGCCCTGCGGGGGCCTCCAGGGCCCCAGCGCCCCCAGGAATCGGATCGGGATGCCCCGCCCACGCACCAGTTCCAGAGAAATAGCAAGGAAAGGTGGTTTTGGTTTCATTTCCCCATCCCCGGGACTGCGGACGTGGGCCCCGCGTCGGGGCGTGAGGTCCAGAGCCTCGGGGGAGGAGGGAAGGCCAGCTGCTGGGCCCAGCGGGGAGGTGGGGGAGAGGGCCCTGAGCTGGAGGGAGGGAGCAGCTCGGGGGCGGGCAGCAGGCTGGGTTCTCGGCTCTGCGGCTCACACGATGGACCTGCGTCCTCGGCTGGAAAATGGGGATGGCGGTAACACCCACCTCTTCAGGCTGTAAATTGGTGGCATTATTAATATTATCACTTAGTCACTCAAAAGGTCTGTACCGGGCTCCGTGCTGGCGGGCCAGGCCCACACAAGTGACCCAGAGAGACCTGTCGTCTGCCCTCCCAGAGCCTGGTCTGGCGGGGGAGGCAGGCAGGAGACAAGCAGAGACAGAAACATCCGTGTGTGTGCTAAGGCACATGAGAGGGAAGCCGTGTCCAGACGGGCTGCGTCGAGGCGGGGACGGGACGGCCGGTGACTGGGTCGGCCAGGGAGAGCTTTTCTGAGGAGGTGGCGTTTGAGTTGAGTACTGAGGGACGAAAAGGACTCGGCCTTGCTGGGACGGTGTGAGGGAATAGCATTCCACGCGGCAGCGCGACCTGTGCAAAGGCCCTGGGGTAGCACGGAGCCTGGCGTGCGGGGGCAGGGAGGAGGCCCGTTGTGGCTGGGGCAGAGGGGGCAGGGCCGGTCCCGCAGGGCCTGTTGGCTGCCCTTGAGGACCTGGGCTTGTTCTGAGGTATCGGGCTTTTTTCCAGGAAGAGGCCAGGCCTCCTCCTGAGCTGATGGGGACACTGGGGCTCAGGGAGGGCAGGGTCCAGTGTAGCCTCACCCGGCGTCCCCTGGCCTTCTGACGGCTGGTAGCCCCGTGGGCCGCTTGGTAGGAGCTGGGGGAGGAAAAGGCCCTACCGGGCGAGGCAGGAGGGGGAAGTTGGGGGCATAAATGGCGTGTCCGGTGGGCAGTGGCGCCCTTTCAACCTGCCGACCCGCGGCTCCTCTCATTCCCTCTGCACCCCTCCCCCCCCATCCCCTGCCCTGTCACCCTGGGGAGCCCGAGGCTGGCGTGGGGAGGCCTCGTCCTTGTCCTTTCCTAACACTTGGCTGGAGGTCCTGGCCCTGCCCTTGTACTCGCTATAGCACGTGACCTCACGTGCCTCAGTTTCCCCATTAGACACCGGGGGCGCATCACCTGAACTGGCAGGTGGAGGCCTGGCTCCGCTGTCCTCTTGGGCCGCATGACCTTGGGTCCCTCTGCCCCGGCTTCCCCGTTTGTCCCGGGAACCCTTAACCTGCTGACTCCGACCCCACTGTATGACTTTGCAGGGCCTTTTCCGGGCCTGGCTCGTCTCCACCTGGTCGCGCCCTGGGGAGCCGGGGGCTCGTGGGAAGGCCCTGCGGGGTGACCGCCCTGCTCTCCGTTCGTCCACAGGCACCGTCTGTGTCCTGCTGTCCTTCCCCTTCATCTTCAGCCCGTGCCTGGGCTGCGGGGCAGGTACCCCGGAGTGGGCCGCCCTCCTGTACTACGGGCCCTTCATCGTGATCTTCCAGTTCGGCTGGGCCGCTGTGCAGATCGCCCACCTCAGTCTCATCCCGGAGCTCGTCACCAACGACCACGAGAAGGTGGAGCTCACGGCCCTCAGGTACGTGGGGCACCGGCGAGGCCCGGAGACCCGGGGCGCCCTCCGTGTTTGGGCTCCGCTTGGCGGTGTGGCTCCGGGACCGTCAGCCCCGGGTGACCCTTCTGTACGATGGCGTATCCCTCCGCCGTTGCGGCCACAGAGTTAGCAGCTTACAACGGCACCAGATAGCCTCTCCTGGTTGCTGTGGGTGTGGAGCCTGACTCTGCTCGGCTGTACTTTCTGCTCCGCGGTCTGTCTGGAGGCCCCTGTCGAGGTGGTGGCTAGGCCTGGGGTCTCACCTGAGGCTTGGGTTTTCCTAAGGATCTCCTGATTAGGCTTGGCTCACCCAGGATCATCTCCATTAATTATACCCGCAGGATCCCTTTACCTTTGTCACTTTCACCTAAACAGCGGGAGTGATCTCGCCTATCCACGGTCCCCTTCTCCAGGGGAGGGATTAGGACGCGACCAGGGCGTGGGAAGATCGAGGCCCATCTCAGACTCCAGCTTGCCCACACGGATACAGCTGGCGCCGGGCTGGTCTGTTGGCTGGTTTGAGGCACTGAAGGAGGTTCTCCTGGATATGGTAATGGGAGCATTTATGCAGTGCTTGCTGTGTGCAGCACAGTTCTAGGCCCTTTGTGTGGATTATCTTTAATCATCATGGCAAGGCCAGGCTTGGTGCAGAGCCCGCCCCTACGGGCCACTGTGCAGCGGGACAAGGGTACGGGAGATGATTGAGTGCCAGGCGGAAGGGCTAGCACAGGTGGTGGCGGCCCCTGTGGCCGGAGCTGAGGGGAGGACTGGCTCACGGGAGGCGCCCTGAGCGTGCACCCCTCTGGCATCTTCAGTGGGGCCTTGCCTTCTCCACCTCGGTCCGCTTGGCCCCAGCGCTGCCCAGCCCGGCCTCTGACTTCCACATCATGGCGCGGAGCCGTGGGCGCCAATGACGGGGGTTGCCCCGGGCCCGAGGGCCCCAGCTGGCGGGCCAGGCAGGGCTGAGACCGAGCTCGGGGGGCCACCTTCCACCTGCCGATGCTTTACCACCAGCCTTGTGGCCGATTCACTCTGATCTCTGGGGGTGTTGTGCTTACTTTCAGAAAGGGAAACTGAGTCCTGGTGTGCGATCCAGAGGCTCTGCCCCCAAGCCCTGGAGGGACACTGTTCTAGGGCTGCGAGCAGGAGCAGGCCTGGATGCTTCTAGACCATGGAGCCCTGGCCCTGTCAAAAGCCCAGGAGCTGGGAACCTAGAATCCCCACATCCTGGCTTCTGAGCGTCTCCAGCGCACAGGCGTGTGGGCCATGCCCTGCTTCCCCGAGTCTCGGTGCCCGGACAGCTCGGGTCGTCGTGGTGGACTCGTGGGTCATTGTAAATCCTCGGATAACGCGTAGCCAGGGCTTTCCTGGGGCCACCCGACGTTTAGTGGCTGAGATCGCCCAGCAGCCAGAGATTCCCCGGATGCCAGCGGTGGCAATGGCAGCGCGGGCCCCCGGGGACGCGGCAGCCGTGTGCCCTCCCGGGCCGCCGCGCCGAAGCCTCGCCTGCCTCCCGCCAGGTACGCCTTCACCGTGGTGGCCAACATCACCGTGTACGGTGCCGCCTGGCTGCTGCTCCGCCTGCAGGGCTCCCCGCACACGGACGTGGCCCGGGATGTCCGCGACCAGCTGGGCGTCCAAGACGTGCGGGTGTTCCAGGTGAGCTGGGCCCCGGGCGGGACACCCCGGGGCCCCGGACCCCGGGGCTTGGGCTCCGGCCGACCCCTGTCCTGCCTGGCCTCCAGAACCTGTCCCTGCTGGTGGTCGGAGTGGGCGCCATCTTCTCGCTGCTGTTCCACGTGGGCACGAGGGAAGGGCGCCGGCCGCGGGCGGAGGAGCCCGACGAGCACAGCCCGCTGCTGGCCCCGCCCACCGCCCAGCCCCTGCTGCTCTGGAAACACTGGCTGCGGGAGCCCGCCTTCTATCAGGTGTGCTGAGGGGGTGGGGGCGCTGGGGACACAGTGTGGCTGGACCTGAGGCCCCTACTCTTGGGGGGGGGGGTGTCACTTCATCATGAAGTGGGCATCCTCCGCGCCGTCGGAGCCCAGCCTTCTCTGCCCGCAGGTGGGCCTGCTGTACATGAGCACGAGGCTCATCGTGAACCTGTCCCAGACGTACATAGCCATGTACCTCACCTACTCGCTCAACCTGCCCAAGGTGAGCTGGGCGGCGCGGGCTGGCGCGGAGCGGGGAGGATGGGCCCTTCTGTGACAGGCGCGCATGCGCTCTGCCCCGACAGAAGTTCATCGCCACCATCCCGCTGGTGATGTATGTCAGCGGATTCTGCTCGTCCTTCCTCATGAAGCCGGTCAACAAGTGCATCGGGAGGAACGTAAGTGGGCAGGCGGGGCTGGGCGGGAAGGATCCCACAGCGGAGAGCTGGGGGGGGCGGCTCCGGACCGCGGCACCCACACTGTGGAAGCCCCGTGTCTGGGAGGTCTAGAGTCCCGGCCTCGGAGGGGCTCAGGGCTCCAGGGTTCTAGAACTTGGGGCTGCCAGGGGCAGCAGCCAGCGGTGGCATGGAGCCCTTGAACTCTGGCCAGCGTGACTAAGGAACTGAACATTTCACTCTGTTTAACTTTAATGGACTCGGGCGCGGCCGTGGCCCCGCGGTGCGGGCTCTGTGGCGCTGCAGACCCCAGGCCCCTGAGTCTTGTGGGGTCCGAGCCAGGGGCCCCGAAGGGATGGCTCCCCTCGCCCCTCTGGGCTGCGGCCGGGCCCGGAGGTACGGCAGACGGAAGGGCAGAGGGGGTAGGTGCTGCCCGGCAAGGGCGAGGCGGGCCTGACCTGGGCCCGCTCCTCCACAGCTGACCTACTTCGTGGGCCTCCTGGTGATCCTGGCCTTCGCCGCCTGGGTGGCGCTGGCAGACAGGTTCGGCGTGGCCGTGTACGTAGCCGCCGTGCTGCTGGGCACGGGCTGTGCCACGATCCTCGTCACCTCGCTGGCCATGACGGCCGACCTCATCGGCCCCCACACAGTAAGGCTGATGGTGTGGACCGGGTGGGGGGTTGGGGGACCGGGGCCGGGCTGTGACCTGCCCGCCCGTGTCCCCCAGCACAGCGGAGCCTTTGTGTATGGTGCCATGAGCTTCTCGGATAAGGTGGCCAACGGGCTGGCGGTCATGGCCATCCAGAGCCTGCATCCCTGCTCGTGAGTGCTGCTCACTTCCTCGCTTAGTAAGACGTGCCGGGTGCCAGGCACTGCCCGGGGTCTGGGGACTCAGCCTGGGCCCAAGGCGGCACGCTGGCGGGTTCTCACAGGGGGGACGCCCGGCTGTTCCTTACCTCCGGCACTTGGCTTACTTAGGAAGCAAACGCGGGGTCTGCCGTGCGCCGAGGACACAGCATGCGGCTGTACCAGGGCCGTGGGCAGGGCTGGGGCAAAGCCAGAGTCTTGCTCAGACCTTGGGAACCTGTAAGGTTCCAGACCCCGGTGGTTCTAGAGCACGGAGGCCGAGCCTTGTAGACGTCTGGGCTCTGGGACCGAGGGCGGTCTGTTCTCGTCCTCATGGACCTGGGGGCAACGCCAGCCACTTTAATAAGCACATAGCTGCGCGATCCAGACCAATGCAAGGTGTGTAGGAAACCCCACTTGTGGGAGCCTGACTGGGGCGAGAGGTCAGGGTGGGCTTCCTTGAGGAGAGGACACTGGACCTGAGCCTCAGTGGCTGTCAGGGAGTCCCAGGTAAACGGGGAGGAACAGCAAAGAGGAGGCCTGTGTGGCCGGAGCAGAGGAAATGAGGGCGACAGGAGGAGGAGGGGGAGGAGGAG